GTCAGTTAACATTGCTGGCTACGCATCTGTGCAAGCAAGGAAACCTGTTCCCCAGTTGCCCACGGCTGGGTCAAGGTCATAGAGCCACCGCATATGGGAATGCTAAGTGTTCTCACTGAGGGATTTGCCTCTTGTACAAGTGCCCAGGTTCCAGGAGCAGCACAGAGTGAAGTCAGCAGCAGTTTATGGCCTCTCTCTTGTAGTAAGGGCCTAGGACTCCCGGGTGGCCCCTGGGCAAACCCGGATGCCACCTCAGTGCACTGTGGATCCGTCCCTCCTTCTCAGAGGCCCTTGACTGCTGGCTTCCTTCAGCCCCCTCCTGTGCCCAGCTGCAGGGATGCTGGCTTAGCCCAGCCCTGCTCTGCAGGCCTGCCTTCTGACATCCTGTCAGGGAGGGCTTTTGAACCTGGGCCTCAGGAAGCTGGCATATGTACTCTGTGTCTTTGACCTGTCATATCCTATTGATGGCCTTGAAAGAAAAATGTCAGCAGAATGCTTTTTTGGGTATTACTGTATAGGGCAGCCTAGAGGTCCCTACCCTGTTCTGGAGAGGATGGCAGTCCTGGTTCTGTTATCCTGCTTGCCAGCCAGGAAGGCATCTGGGGAAAAGGCTGGGGAAGGATTTGAGGAGGTGGGAGAGGTGGCTGTCAAAACCAAGCCCCAGGAGGCAGCTGGATGGGGTGCTGGAGTGGGCACCACCTCCCCACCAGAACCCCGTGTAGCAAACCTTGCTGCACATTGGATTGATACATTATTGGGACAATTGGTGAAAGTCAAACAAGGTGGATTACATACTATTGTTGTACCAATGTTGATTTTCTGATGTTGATCATTGTACTGTGGATATTTAAGTGAATATTCTTGTTATTAAGAGCAAATAACAAGGGAAGCAGTCGCCTCTTCCAACCCTAAAAGTCCCTGAAGTTGTGAGCTTTCTATTCCGTTACACCCCTGCTTGCAAACTGATCACTTCTTTTCTAAACTCAACTTTTATAATGCCTTGCCAAACACAGCCAATAGCAGCCAACATGCACAGCCAACCTTGTGTTTTCAGCATCTTCTCCTGGAGCACTGAGTTCATCAGGTATGTCACCTTCCTTGCCTCTTCCTGGAGGTTGGTGGCTCTCAGCAGTCCTTGGGGTACCTTGGCCTGTAGCTGCATCACCCCAGTCTCCAAGTCTCATCCCTAGAGGCTTCGAGAGGAACAAGGCACTGCTGGCACTTTGGTTTCAGACTTCTAGCCTCTAGATCTGTGAGAGAATTGATTTCTGTTGTTTACTGCATCCAGCTTGTGGTAATTTGTTATGGCAGCCCTAGGAAACTAATGCAATGGGCATGGAACCTAATTACGTCAAGGTGACTCAAGGGCAATTCTACTGGGCCATTTCATTGACAGCTTTTCCTCGCTAACAACAGAAGATTCACAGGAGGTATGGTAGCCCTAAGTACTTCTGGGTCTCCCTACTCTGGATACCTGGGAGGATTACATTTCTCTGGCTCTTGGAGAGAGGTATGGCATGTGAACAGAGTCTTCCAATATCTTCCAGGATAGCTAGATTATTCTTGTCACTTCTGGGTGGGACAGCTTCTTTACAAGCCAGCAGGTGATTCGAATCACTCCCTTATATTCTGATGTGGTGGCCGGTGACGCTTCAGAGGGGGGTTGCTTGGATCCATGGAGCCTTGGGGGTGAGGAGGTGGCTTGCTGGGCATCTCCAAAATCCATTTGTCACAAGAGTTCAGGTCAGACTCTTGATCCTATCCTTGCCACAAGGGGCAAGGGAGTAGAGTTTGAGGTTCTTTTTTTTTTTTATTTCAGGATATTATGGGGGTACAGATGTTTAGGTTATGTATGTTGCCCTTTCCCCCCTGTCCCCCTAAGTCCGAGCTTTAAGCGTGTCCATCCCCCAGATGGTGTGCATTGCACTCTTTGTGTATGTATATACCCATCCCCTCCTCCCCTCCCCCCTGCCCAACATCCAATAAATGTTATTCTTATATGTACACTTATGTGTTGATCAGTTAATACCAATTTGATGGTGAGTACATGAAGAATACAAGAGGTGCTATATCACCATTGTCTCTTATAGCTGAATAGTACTCCATGGTATACATATACCACATTTTATTAATCCACTCATGTATTGATGGACACTTGCGTTGTTTCCACATCTTTGCAATTGTGAATTGTGCTGCTATAAACATTCGGGTGCAGGTGTCTTTTTCATGGAGTGTCTTTTGTTCTTTTGGGTAGATGCCCAGCAATGGGATCGCTGGATCAAATTGTAATTCTAGTTGTATCTCTTTAAGGTATCGCCATATTGCTTTCCACAGAGGTTGCACTAGTTTGCAGTCCCACCAGCACTGTATGAATGTTCCTATCTCTCTGCATCCATGCCAACATTTATTGGCTGCTCCTATGGCAGTCTCCTTTTGCCCTTTGAAGGAACCGCAAACCCTACCCTCTTGCCCTGCTCGTCAGTTGTCCCTTCAGGTTTGTGGGCCACAGGAGGCAAGTATTAGATCCCTAGAAGCTGTGCTGGTGCCAGAGTCGTGAGGGATCCCGTGCCGTTTATTGTTTTGGGACTTTTTGATAAAGGCCAGTCTCACCGGAGTTTGAGGTTCTTGAGTTTTTTAATTGGCCTTTGTTATTACAAACCACTTCTCAGATTTATCTTTTAGTAACAGAAGTCGAGAAGCAGTTGCCTCTTAACACTAAAAGTCCCTGAATTTGTGGACCTTTTATTCCCTTCTACCCTGCTTGCAAACTGGTCACTTCTTTTCAAAGCCCATCTCCTTCTTATAATGCCTTGTCAAACACAGCCAACATGCAATGCTAACCTTGTGTTTTCGGCATCTTCTTCTGGAGTGATGAGTTCATTAGGTATGTTATCCATAGGTGGTAGTTTGTCAAATGTTTGTCTCTTCATAACATGGACCTCCTTCCATCCAGCTTTGGTCAACAGCATCCTCCCTGCTTCTCCTAGCACCTAGGCCAGTACATCTATTTTAGTTTTTTATTTCATCAGTAACATTCTTCCAGTATCTTCCATGATAGGCTAGGTAATAAATAATTCTCCAAAAAATCTTAGTGGCTCATATAACAAAGTTTCTTTTTTTCCTCACTCAAGCTGCATGCACTTGGAAAACAACTTAACTTATCTTTTCAGTTTATAGGTCTCTGGATCAAGAGGAACCACACCCTGACCTGATGCAGAGACCACTATCCCAGGGACCTGGACTTGATGTTGTGATGATGTGGGGCTTTGGTTGCCTCCTGCGAGGAGTGGAGAGTGTATTTTGCCTGTGGCAGGCAGTGGGCAGCCAGAGGGGCAGATTTAGTAGTCACTAGCACTGCTCACAGGTTATTAATACTTTGGGTGTTGGCCTTCTGGGATGTCCAGGATGGTACTTTCCTCTCCCACAGAGTCAGGAGTGAGCTGCTTTGTCCAGTGAATTGTGGGTGAAAGTTACATATGTCTCTTCCAGCTGGAAACTTTACCGATATAGAAGGAAACATTCCCTTTCTGCTTGGCACAGAGTGGTGCTTGGAGTTGCATCATCCATCTTATGAATGGGAGGAGATGAGTTAAAAAAAAAAAAAGATAAAGGTAACACTGAGAAAGGATGGCAGATGGTGGAACAGAAAAATAGAAAGAACCTGGGTCCCGAGGGTAGAGCCATCGAATTAGCTTTTGGGACTCCCTACCTCCATGCTTCCTGTTCTGTGAGAAAGCAAAGCCCTTTTTCTTTGCATTTGGTTGGATATTGTTACTTGTAGCTACACAGGCATGGTAGACAGAATAATGGGGCACCAAAGATGTTTATGTTTGAATCCCCAGAACCTGAGAATGTGTTGTCTTGGTAAGAAGGGACATTGCTGATGTGACTAAGTTAAGAATTTTCCTGGATTATACAGATGCACCCAATGTAAACAAGTCCTTTTAAGAGGTCAAAGTCAAAAGAAGAGGAAGAATGGAAGCAGAGGTTGAAGTGATGCATTTTGGAGACAGAGGAAGGGGCCAGTAGTCAAGAAATGCAGGTACCCTCTAGAAGCTAGAAAACACAAGGAAATGGATTTTTTTCCCTGAAGCCCCCAGAAGGAACCCAGCTCTGCTAACACCTTGATTTTAGCCCCGTGAAGCCGTTTTGGACTTTTGACCTCCAAAATTGTAAAAAAATAAATTTACGCTGCCTTAAGCCCCTATGATTTGTAGTAATTTGTTGCAGCAGCCCTAGGAAGCTACTAGGGATGATGTCCACTAAACTAATGACAACAGACGAGGGTCATCTCCCCAGCAAAGCAGTCTTTGGAGAACAGCTAACATTTCCTTGCATATTTAAAAGGAGGATCCATAAAGTATATAAGAGTTAGAGAGAGGAAAGGAAGGAACAGTTTCCACTTAGATTATAACTCCTTTCCTACTGGCACAACAACAAAAAAAGGGAGGTTCTTGAGAGCGAGTTTAGTATTTAAGGTGATTACCGTGCTGTCTGCAGCTCTCAGCTACCCTGGACTGCAGTCCTGTAGGCCTGGGCCACCTCCAGATTACGGTGATATTAGAGTTCACTGGAAAGCCCAGTTTGAGGGTGGCAGGGACTTGAGCTGAGGTGCAGCTGAGTTGGGGCCAGAGCCGTCTAAGTCATCTGGGATCTTGGGAGCCAGGCAAAGTGGCTGGCACGGGATCCCTCAGGACTCCGGGACCAGCACAGCTTCTAGGGATCTAATACTTGCCTCCTGTGGCCCACAGACCTGGAGGGACAACTGACGAGCAGGGCAAGAGGGTAGGGTTTGCGGTTCCTTCCAAGGGCGAAAGGAGACTGCCTTAGGAGCACGACTGCCTGGACGGCGCTTCAGCAGCGCCCAGGGAGTGGGGTCAGCGCAGGGCGGGGCCGTGGAGGGAGGGGACAGGAAGGTGAGGAGGGAGGAGACCCAGCTGGCAGGGTGGAGATAAAGACGCGTGCCTCTGGGTCCCACCTGCGGTAGCTCTGAGGAGGCCGGGGCGCGATGGAGCCGGCGCCTGACCTGGGGCTTGGGGACTCGTCGCTGCACCGCTACCTGGACGGCGAGTTCTGGAACCTCAAGAACGAGATGCGCAGACTTCTGGGCGGCTGCCCGCTCTTCCGGCACAGGTACCTCGCCGCTGCCGCCGCCCCTGCCCGCGCGCGCCCCGGGCCGGCCGGGCATGTCCCCTCGGTCCCCGGCGCGTCCCTGCGGGCACCGTCCGGGACGCTTCGGGAGAGGGCGAGGTGGGTGGGGTGTGTGCTGCGCTCGCGAGGCAGGCCTGTTCCTCACCTCAGCAGAGGATGCGCTCTCCTCCCCAGATGTGTGGGCGCAGCTGGCCACCGCCGACTTCCTCAGGCCGCAGGGACGGCGTCCCTTCCTCCGGAGCTCGCTCCTACACGAGGAGTCGGGGGCAGGGGGGTGCCCGCGGTGGCGGGCACGGTGCTGGGCGGAGACAGTCGTGGCTGGAAGAATCAGCCTTGCTTCTAAACCTGTTTCTCGAGTCCTGGCCCCCGGTGTCCCACCTCTGGTGCAGAGAAGGGGCAGAAATCCCCGGTGGGGTGGGCGTGCGGGCAGGGACTGGCCCTGCCCAGGGTGAGTCCGGACGTCATGGGTTGGACAGACTCCCAGGGGCCCCCTCAGAGTCCGGGTCTGCCCAGTGGGCAGCTGAACAGCAGGGCGGCAGTTTGGTTGTAAGAGGGGCTCAGGTCCACCATGTCATCTGATGCCACAACAGCCCTGAGAAGTAGGCAGAGGGGTTAGCGCAGCTCGAGTTTGGAGAAGGAGAAAAGGCCTCAGTCACCGGCCAGTCAGGACCAGAACTCAGCACTCGTCCCTTACTGGGGGCTCTTTCTCGTATGTTCTGCCGGGCAGCTGATCGCATTTCGGACAGCCTCAACAACCCAGTTAGAGCCATGCTTTGGAGTCGAGTTTAGGAAACCCTTATTAAAAACGCCAGTGTATTCCGGTTAGCTAGTGCCCAGTTAGCCCACGTTTAATTTCTCTCTCAAGAATGGGCTGGGCTGAGAGGGAAGGAGACGGCTTGAAAGTCAGGCAGTCTGGAGAAGAATCTGGGGTTCCTGCACTGGGGTTACGTAACGGCGCCGGCTTAGGGAAGTTGCAAAGTGAGAGGTATGGGATGGTGGGTGTGTTCGAGTGTCTCCCTCACTTCTCTTTCCCTCTCTCTCATGCGTAGAGCTCTAAGTCGTGGTTCTCGAAGTGTGGTACAGGGACCCCTGGGGGTATCCAAGACCATTTCCGAAGGTTCATGAATTCAAAACTATTTTTATAATAATCCTAAGATGTTATTGACTTTTTTCACTCTCATTCTCTCACTAATGTACAGTGGCAGTTTCCAGAAACTATATGATGTGTATTATTCCAGTGGATAAAATGTAGAAGCAGAGATGAGAATTCAGCTGTCTTCTATTAAGACAGACATTAAAGAGATTTGTAAAAATGCAGAACAATGCTACTCTTCTTCCTAATATATATTTTTTTGTTTTGGAAAACAGTTATTTTCATAAAATACACTTATTAATTTTGTAACTGTTATTTTCAAATGAATTAATAAGTACTTGAAAAATTTTCTGTGATAATTTCTAATATGATAAATATCAGCAGATATAACCCACCCAAATAAAAACTCTTTAGGGACTTCAATAATTTTTAAGAGTGCAAAGAGTTCCTCAGACCCATACATTTGAGAGCGGCTGCTTTCAGTTTGGATAACTGCAGTTTAAAATATGGAACAAAATTCTAATATCCAAACTACTGATTTGGGCCAAGTAGAAGGCACTTCCTCATGGACATGGGGACAGAGAGGAAAAGGCAAGCCAGGATGGGAGAGCCAGCGGGGCAGTTTGTCTCAGTGTGACCTCCATTGTGTGATTTTTTTCCCCCTCGCTGAGCTTACATTTGCTCATTCACAGAGCAAGAATAGTATCTGTGCTGCTGGGTTGTTGTGAAGCTTAAATGAGAAACTTTTGAGTGGGCGTTCAGTAGACACTGGTTGTGGTAGGACACCAAAAACACCAAAAAAAGAAAAGAAGGAAAAAACAGAAATCCCATTAAATCCCTAACAAACACTTTTCCATTCTTTCCAGTTCTTGTTTATTTACTTCATAATTTCAAAGCTGTAATAATGGCACAGACAACATATTTGTTCCAAATGGTTAAAGCTTCTGATATATATCTATTTGAAAGTTCACATTGTACTCTCAGATTCTATCTTAGCCCATGTTAGAAGACTGTGATCTCGCTTTCTGGATGTTTTAACATTCTACTAATGTAAAAAGCTTTGTAGAAGGTCAGAAATAAAACTTCCCTATTCACTGAGCAATGTGAAACCTCCCATGGCTGGTCCCCCCTTACCCCAAACAGGCCTTTGCAGTTAAAGTAGGGGTGTGTGTCGGGGGAGGGGTTGTGGCGGCACCGTTGTGAGTGCTGTGTGTGTGTATAGTGGGAAGTTTGTACAGGGCCAGATACTCCCAGGACAGAAGAGCTCAGGACACAGTTTTCCTCTAAAAGAAAAGAGCTCGTGCAATTTCCTATGTACACGTGGGTGGCTGCCCTCCTCAGAACAGGGGTTCATCCCTAGAATGCTGACCATCAGCTCCCAGGAGCCATGCTGCCCACGTCCCCCTTATGAGGAGTGGTTTCCCCTCTCTCCCAAAGATGAGCTTGCCAGGCGGAGTCCTCAGTCTTCATTCTGTTGGAGTGCCCCAGACCCTGGGCGTGCTGGGGGCTGCTGAGGGTCCTCCCTGTCCGGTTGTGTGTCCCATTTGTTGTGACTGGCAAGAGGATTCTGGGTGACTTGAGGCTCCTCATTGGGGCTTGCAGGGAATGTTAAAAATCAACATCTGAAAGGAGGTAAGCTTTTTAAATATTTTTGAGCTTATTTATTGGCAAATGGAAGCTCTTTCATGAGCTCTCTCCCTGGCTGGTGAGTGGGTGTGCTCGTGTACAGGCATGGCGCACATTGTTCAGCCGGACAACTTAAATAGCCTTTCTAGATGGTTCTGTTCTCCCAAGACCTTCTCACACCCTTCCACAAGGCTCCCCTCTCCAGCTCCCACCTGTTGCTCCCGGCTACTTCCCTCCCCTTTTCTTTCTCTTCACTTCCCCAGAGCAATGCACATTTCTCAGCCTAACCTTTTCATATCTTTAGCTTTCCCCCTCAGTCTTATTTTCACATGCAAGTGTTTCACAAACACACTCTCGTTGTGAAGAGTCGAATACTGTGGAAAACCTGAAAGTTTCCAAAAGTGTTTCCTCCCCCAACCACTTTTTTTTTATTGTGGTAAAATACACGTAATATAAGATTTACCATCTTAACCATTTTCAAGTGTACAGTTCAGTGGTATTAAGTACTTTCCCATTGTTGTGCAACCATCACCACCACCCAGCTCCAGAACTTTTTTATTCTCCCAAACTGAAATTTTGCACCCATTAAACACTAACTCCCCCCTCCCACCCCTCCCCCAGCCTCTGGCAACCCCCTCGCATTTTCTGTGTCTATGGATTTGACTACTCTAGGTACCTCACATGACTGAACACAGAATTTGCCCTTTGTGACTGGATTATTTCACTCAGCATAGCGTCCTTGGGGTTCATCCATGTCGTAGTGTGTATTAGAATTTCCTCCCTTTTTAAGGTCGAGTAATATTTCATTGTATGTATAGACCACATTTCGATTATTCACTCTTCTGTTGATGGACATTTGAGCCCCCAACCATGTTTAATACTTTAGTGTGGTTATAGGCACTTTTTCTGTTTTTCAGTGAGTTCATGTACACATATAAACATTATTTTGTTATATTAACAAGATCTTGCTTTGTGTTTGGTTCTACAGCTTGCTTTTTTACAATTTAGTTCTTATTTCCATCGATATAATATGTGGGCATACTTAATAAAATTGTACCATGAAGTTTGTAATGAAAAACAGCCACCCCATGTCTCACCCGTCTTTAGCTCCCATTTCCTTTCCTCATGGGCAACCACTCCCAATTCTTTTATTTGACTTTTATGTTATTCACCTCCGTATGCCTAATAACATGCTTAAATGGCCACCTCTCAGTTATAAACTGGCTTACTGTTATGGAAAATGAAGATTTCTTATCACAGCACCACTTTTCCTATTCTCTGAAAATCAGTGTATCACCATTTTTATTTAAATCTATATCCAGTATTCACACTGTTATGACCATATAAATATTATCCCAAGCTATGCCTCATGATGTACCATATTTCATTTCCTTTCTGTTATAACCTTTTGATTTCTCTGAAGATAATTGTCCCTTTATTCATTTGCTTAGTTTTCTATAAACCCATCTCTCCCTGACCTCCACGATAGATAGATACAAAACAGAACAGATCCGTCACAGAACAGAACAGTCCCACTGCACACAGTGTGGTCAAACCTGTCAGGTAATTGGCAGTTGCACTCCTCTTGGCCCCCCATGGATACATCCGTCCCGGGGGCTTCCTTCCATGGCTTCAGTCTGGAACTGGCTCTCTACCTGTCCCTTCACCGTCATCTTGGAAATTTCCTTTGCATCTCCTCTGTGGTCAAGTCACTGTTTTCCCAGGCTTTCTCTTTCTTGGTTACCCTTTGTAGAGGCTCAGAAAGGACCACATTCTTTAATGCTACTCCTGTTGAGAGGTGTGGTTTGTGTTCCCTTCTCTTGAATCTGAGAAGCTTTGTGACTGCTTTGGCCAACAGAATATGGCTGAAGTGACAGTGTGCCAGTGTCCACTGAAAAGACTCGTACCCTCCACTTTTTGTCTCTAGAGGCTCTGAGCTTCCATGGATTTAACAAAGAGTTGTACTAGCCTGTGGCTGCCATGCTGTGAGGAAGCCCAAGCTGGTCCATGTGGAGAGGCTACATAGGGAGAGGTTAAGAGATGCTAACATTCCCACCTGCTCCAGCCCCTAGCTCTTCTGAGCTGGGACCCCAGACATGGGAAGCAGAGAGACAAGCCATTCCTACTTGTTCCCTGTCCAGATTTCATAGAATAATACTTGTTTTAAGCTGCTAAGTTTTAGGGTACATTCTTACACAGCTGTAGGTAAACAGAATGATCTGTCATTAAATAGCTTCCTGAAAAAGGGAATTAACTTTTTGAG